AAAAAAATAATCACTAAAGCAGCTTTTCCTGGATTGATTTCAGCTCGCAGGACCAAAGTTATTTCAAAAGAAGCAATTAAGAGTTAGCATTGCACACACATACCTTCTTAAAACAAAACAAAACAAAAAAAACCCAACAAAACCCCCCAAAACAACGTGCTGATCTGGTTAGCTGTCCAAGCCAGAACACACCTGCATATATCCAGTTTCCAAGCTTCCCTGGCGCTCACGCCGCTGCCAAGATTGCTGGTGTTTTTAAATAATGCGAGCACTCGCTAATTATTCTTTCGGTGGGAAGAGAATCATACGAGCAGAGAGGAGAAGTACAGAAACCCATTTCACTGCAGCACCTTTGTGCTGCGGCAAGAGGCCTGTGTCAACACCCCCCTGGCAGTTAAGAACACCCTGCTGCTCGCCAGAGAATTTTCCAGTGAAGGAAAGAAGGCAGAAAGACATTCCAACCCTCTAATTAAAATCACAAAGCACTGCAGATTATCAAAGCAAGGCAGGTGTCGTGCTCATGAGGGATGCAATTTGGTCTCCACTTCATTTAATTACGAAGTCCATTTTACTGAAGTAGAGAAAGGTTTTACACTACTACAGAGCCTCCAAAAAGCTGGAATGTAGCAGGTTTTCCCCTGAAATATATTTCTTCTTTTTTATTTAAAAAAAAAAATTAACCAGCATCTGTTGTAACGTCAAACTTTATATATATAATCTCATAACTATATCTATATCTATATATATATATCAGATCCTTTTGTCTGTTCTGTGTCCAATTCTGACAGACCCCTGAGGGCTGAGCAGCACGGGACTTCATTTCAGGGTAGCAGGTCCTGCAGCCTCCTACGCTGTTCTCAGAAGTGGGAGCTTTTACATTCAGCAGAACACAAAGCCAATTGTAAAACGAAGCTGAAAATCAATCACTCCATTAATCGAGCCACTCAAGCGATCTGACAGGTCATTTAACACTGTGCCTCACGTCTGACAACCCTCCCCAGCTAAAACAAAAGCTGCTTTAAGAAAATCTGCACTTGCAAATGTTGGATCTGGCTTGGACTTCTTCATGCTAGTCAAGATCCCATTTGTTGAGAGCAATGAGACTGGGCACAGACAGAAGACATGGAAGGGGAAAATGAAGCATGAGGGATACATTTTCTATGAATCAGAGGTGTTCTTCTATGGCAATACTTTTTTTTTTTTTTTCCCTTAAAGATATATAAATATACCTGCCCAGGATATGCTCCTGTGCAACTTCCCTTGACAACTGGACTGGTACATGGAAGAGAAAGAGGCCACTGCAAAGGGAAATCAAGTGAGCAGCTACATCAAAAGGAAGGAGAGACTATATGAAAAAAAAAATAAAAAATAAAAAATTAAAAAGCACAGAGTTAAAAATGTAACCAAGAGCCTATTTTAAAATAAAGAAATAAACAAATAAATCAAAACAAAGGAAAGAACAAGCTGGGATAAGCTCACCAGATGCCAAAGGGATACTTTAAGGGTACAAGGTCTCAACGTGAATAAGGAGGCACAATCACATTCAAACAGTGCAGACTCAGACTGCTCTCTTTGAAGAACGCATTTTGGGGAGTTTTAGAAACAGAAAATTCCTCCGTGACACCCTGGCACACGCAGGAGACCAGGCTGAGCCTTTCCTGAGCTACACACTGTTGGCAAAAGATCATTTTTAAACCCACCGAAGAGTCTGAAGAGTAGAAATACGGATAGAGAGTCAGAGTTTTAACCTCTAAAGAGGAAGAACAACATGCACGTGATGGTCTGACAGCAAAACTTCCTCAAAAGGTGCATTTGCCAGCCAGCTCCGGCCAGTCTTCCACAAGAACATGGCCAAAATCGTTTTCTGGGACTGCCACGGAGCGGCATTCAGGCAGGTGCTTCTTTCAACTACCCGTTAGCACCCACACACCACAAATTCACAGGAGCCAATACAAGTGCTCACGGGTACGGATTTAAAGGTTTTTTTTAAAAGGTGATCATTTGATTTTGGCTCTAATTTTGTGTTTACACATTCTGAAATCCTAAAACCACACCCTGCCCCGTTTAAACCAAACCTGACAACTTGCATTTTTACCCGATTTCCAAACCCCCCCTACCCCATCGGTGCCACCTCCCCAGAAAAGCCTTGCCTGCCGCTCGCCCTGCTCCGGTTTGACAGCGCCAGCAGTGCAGCCAGCCTCGGGTTAGGTGTTGCTGACAAGAGCTCTGAGCAGGGATTAAATGAAGCTTCAAATATTTTAGCTGTTGGTCAACACTAACCTCTCCCAGCATCAACGGCTCTTTCGGCAGCCAACGAGCACCGAAGTCAACGCAGTGGAAAGCCCTGGCTGCTCCGTTAAAACCAAGCCATCAGGAGAAGCTCAAGTGATTCAGCTGCACCAGACGGCCGGCCCAACAGCCCTTCCGAGAGGCGCCCAAACCCGCAGCCAACGGGCTTTCCATTCTGCCGCCTCGTGCTGTAGGTGGTGGCAACGACCTGACCCTGGCCGGCAAGCTCTGCCCCGGGCCCCTCTCCCCAGCCCCTCGCGCTCGCTGCCCAACGCAAACTCCCCCCCTGAAGACCAACGGAAGCGGCAGCGCCGCGTGGGAAGAGCCACCCACGCGGGGGATGCCCTGGTCAGCCCCAAACAAGCGGACGAGGGAAATCCACGGCTTTGTTCACCATCATTCGGGAAAGCTCGCTGCCCAACGCAAACTCCCCCCCTGAAGACCAACGGAAGCGGCAGCGCCGCGTGGGAAGAGCCACCCACGCGGGGGATGCCCTGGTCAGCCCCAAACAAGCGGACGAGGGAAATCCACGGCTTTGTTCACCATCATTCGGGAAA